CTGCTTGGAATGGAGACCCACAAGGAGCATTTTCATGTAATTCCAGCCACCCAGAGAAATGACTTAAGTGTGTAATGCATTAGCAAGTGCAAGCGCTGGTAGATGTGGGATTTACGCTGTTAAAATCAGACAGATTCTGGATTAATTGGAACAGCCACAAGCTTTCTGGCTAGACTGCACAGCAAAGTGGTACTAAGTACGTGTTAATTTTCCCTGACTCTTTTAGTAAGTTTGCTGTCTCATTATGTGATTTTTTTAAAAAAATATGATTACAGTTGATAAGCTGCTGGAAAGGATCCTTTTATTACCCTCCACTTTTTCACCCCCTTAAGCACGATAATTTAGCACATGCTGAGTTCAAAGTCTGTGAAATCGCATTGACTTCATTAAGAACATTCGCAACCCCAAATTAAGTATGAGCCTAAGTGCTCTGCCAGACCAGGACCAGGATGGCCAGTAGTTTGCAGGTAAAACCCTACAATGAAACTGAGAAAGAGTCAGTTTGCAATAAGGGAAAATCCCCAGAGCAGAGGGAGTGCAATATTGCTATGGATACTCCTCTCCTGACCCTGAGCACACCCCTGTTCACACAGGGCCTCTTCCTCAGGCATGGGCAGCAGTCCTTGGCAGATCCCAGAACAGCAAGTTTTACAGTGCTAGTTCCCAGCACATCTTTCCCAAAAGCCACAGCCCATTGCCAGAATGAGAATGGGACTCTTTGCATCTCCACCTCAGGCCAGAGATCAAAATCGACAAAGTTGCACCTCAAAGCAACAAACTGCAAGAAAGAAGTGAGAGCCAGAATAGCATCTCCTGGTGGACATGGCCATCTTTACCAATGAAGTTAATTAGGGCTTGAATTTGCAACCACTGACAAAACAAGGGAAAAAAAAAACCAAACAGTTAAAATAATTGCTTGTAGTTTTATGTCAGATTTACAACCTTACTGCTACAACTTTACTCCCTTCTCTATCCAGCTCGGGATAACCCATTACTAGCTTCACTTCTCACATAGCTGCGCTAGGTCTCAGGGCTCTCAATTCCCGAAGCTGAGCCACTCCAGGGGCTGCGATGGGACTGAAAGGGTCAGGTGAGGTGGGTCTTTCACCTCCCACCTCAGCTCCTCAGCTCTCTTCCAACTCCCCCTGGTGTGGATAAGTCCCCCTTCTTGAAGAGACATTTGATAAAAGAAAAGGGCCAGCTATTCCTTACCCAGATGACTGTAATATTCAACAAAGCCTAATGACCCTCAGCATTACTGTTCACATTGCAAAGCTCCCTCGTTACCCTGCAATAGCGAAGACCTGCCCTGACTCTAGGATCGTGCTAGTGCAAAGGGATCCTTGGGGACTCACCACGCTCCGTGCACAGGGCTATGACCAGTACGGCAAGAAGAAAAGCCTTCATCCTTTATAGGTCTTTGCAGCCTCCGAATCAGTCAGGATTCACTCAGGGCAGTTTTTATACCTCTGCAGTGTTTGCTTTGATGATAGGATAATAACCATAGCGTTCCTGTGTCAGATGGCTGGTGATTAAGACTAACGTGTCCCTGCCTGTATGTGGAAGTCTGTCTTGTTGGAAACCTGAAAGGGCGTATATTTTTCCAAGTTCTTCTTCTTGATGTTTCACAACGTGGCTTGTTCATCTGGTGCATGTACGCAACAGTTTCTAATTCTGGATAAGTGGAAGAAGAGCAAAACACAAAAACAAAACCCTGCGTCCATGTGAGAAGAGAAAGGCTTTCCTTTCCAGGCTAGCTTGGGTGTCAGAGCAGGCTGCATCTTGAAAATCCCATCCTTGCACACAGTTTTAATGCATATGGAAATTACTTGAATTTGAAATTGAAATTGTGTTTGAAACTTATTCCAAAATGTCTCCCAGGATTGTGAAAGCAACTAGATGAGAAGAGCAATCTCTCCTTCCACTGCATTTCATCAGGGACCAGATACAATTTTCTGTGGGCCTTTTTGAAACTGCAGTTCAAAATCATAAATGATTGTCTTCAAAAACTGGCTATTTTATATGGAGGAAAATGTTATCTTATTGAAAAATAAATTCCACTGAGCAATGAAAATGACCACTTAAATTAAAAAAGAAAAATAAAACGCATCCCAAGCATGTTGAACAAGCTATATTTTCTTTTATTGTTGTTTTTCCCCCCCACAAATTACAAAACTGGAAGGTCTTTAAAAAAATAAATGTCAGAGAGGGAAAAAAAAGCAGTTAAAGCTTGGAGAATGAGGGATTATCCGACCAAGGCTCTCAACTTATTAGTTCTTCTGAAAAAAAAAGATGCATACAAATATATATATATATAGCCAGCCAAAATGATGTGAAATACCAAATAGGAGTAGTCGGCTGGGTTTCCATATGGTGCTCTTCTTTCCTCCTCTTTTACTGTGCTTCTTCCTATCTCCCTGTATAAAATCAGAATCGTTCTCATCTTCTTTTAATCATTCTTGCTTGTTCCTTCCACCATTGTCTTTCTGCCATCTAATCGCAGGGATGGAGGTGCAGTTCCAGAAATGATCCAACTGGATCTCCTTCACATGACACTCCAGGCTGTAGGAGCAACCTGCGTGCCCCAGGTCTTTGCCAGTGACTGCCCCATGCTGCTCTCCATCTGGTTTATTTCTCCATCTCAGTGTTTCTCGCATGCCCCTCTCCCATTAAATATTTGGGATTCCAGCTATGATCCACCTACAGTCATTATTTCACTTAAAAGGCATTCCCAGTGCTTCGGGTGAGGTAACTCTTTCCATAACCCTTAAATTGAACATGTAAATATTGTTAATAGAGAGACCTGTGTGACTAAGGTATGGAAATCTCTGCTTTCTCAATAGGTAGAGCATGAAACTCAGTGGGAGCAGAGGTGGCAATTAACCAAGGAAGTTAAAGGAGGGGTAGTTTGGCCTTTATGCCTCTATAAGATACCAGGCAGAAGGAAGGCAGAATCTCTCTTCCTCATGAAACGAAGAACGCAAACCTCTCTTCCTCGTGAAATATTTTATTTTCTCCAGTAGAGCTCTCATCGGTCTTTATTGATAAATCAGCTTTTATTGCTGACTATTCGAGGTAATAGCAGAAAAGGGGGCTCCAGTCACAAGGCAATGCCATTCTGCAGCCCGTACATTGCTCTGCAGAGGCAGCCCACATTCAGATTTATTTCAGCCAACAGCATCCATTATCAGGTACAGAAATAGCAGCCCAGCCAGGCACTTTATTTTTTTTCTTTTCTCCCTTGCAGCCTCATCCAAGTGAAAACTAAAATATCTCCTGTCTCCTGCAAGCTGCTGAGATTTTGAGATTGCAGCACTGTATTTCTTAAAGGAGTTATTGAAGGTTTTCTGACAGTCGGGTTTTTCCTATTAGGTTGTCCTGCACAGTCCCAAATTGGTCCCATATGCCCCTCTGATGTTAATGAGAACTTTGCTTCTCATCCATACCAGGTGCGATAAATTAAAAAGAATGGGGGTGGGGGGGGGCAGAAAGGACACAGATGATTAGGAGACTAGAGGGACCTAGGCAAAGGAAAAGATACTGTCACAGTTTACAAGTACTGGGTGGTTATGAACTTCAAGTAGAAGATTAAGGAAGGAGGAACAGGGGATTTAACTTGGGGTGGGGGGGGAAATGGAAAGACTTATTTCCCTTGACGTAATTGCTGAGCGGAGAAGGACGGAGAGTATTTTGCTCTTGTTGTTCTAAACCTGGTTGAAAATGCCACACGGAAAGGGTGAACAATTTCTTTATTTTGATGAAAACAGGTATTTTTCATGAAGTAAAAGCTGCAATTTAAAATGAACTGTTCTGCTTAATTCAGGTATTGTATTTGCCAAGAAAAGATTTATCAGCTGGCCAAAACCTTTGAGAACCATTTCAGAAATGACTGCGATCAATTTATAGGAAAAGTGGTGGGAAAACCGGTTAACAAAAAGTGCAAAAAGCCAAGTTTCTTTTGGACCCCTCAGAACAGAAATGGCATCAGTCCTCCCATTCTTCAGCTGACTCATCTTGTGTTTTCAACAAATGCCAGGTTACCTTTCTTGCCCAGGAATTAGGTCTTTACAGGCTGTTTAAACACAAGCCCATCTTCAAAGCCTTCAGCCAGCAGTTTCCCCCAGTTGCACAGAAATGCATGAACTTTGCAGCCTATCTTAAGCACTGGTGGAGCAGGACTTCTTGCAAACCCAGCTGGACTGCAAGCGTGAGTTTCTCCCCAGTGCAACTTCTGCGCAATCCTCCCAGAGCACTTGTACACCACTTAGACAGGAATAACACATCCTTTCACCTCCAAGAGTGCGTTCCCTTTCCCCAGCATTGCCAAACAACCTGCAAGCTTCTCCGAGAGGGGCTGTCCACCCTGCCTTCCCCTTCCCACACCTGGAAATACAGGAGTGAGAGAGGAAGGGCAAGGAGCAGAGACCTCCCCACCCAACCAGAAATGCCCAAGTCCTCTTCCAGGCACTTTCTGTCCATTTTCCCCCTCCTACAGGGAAATTGTGGGCAGTCACTTAGATGGCATCTTCCTGAGCAGGCACGGAGGTCCCATCTCTGCAAGGAGAGGTCCAGCAGTGCTGTTCTGGCATCTTGGGAAGGACCGTTGCCTATTTTAAAAGGTGAAATGACGCAACTATCAGAGGAACGAGCATGAGGAATTTGCAGTACAGCTAGGAATGCAACCAGCGCCTGCAAATATCCCATTCCCATTGCGTTAGTAGTTACAAAATAATTCTCTGTGCCGCTTCAAGTACCAACTTATGCTGAGAACAACACAAATGTCTTCACCGTTCCAGACTGACACCTTCATTCGTTAGTTCTGAGTGATCAGGCTTAACATCTGGCTTTTAGAAGTATCTGTCTTGTGGGGCTGGATGCAAGTGAGTCAATGGAGAAATGCAGCTAGGAGAAGGCTCCAAGATGCTGATAAAAAGAGAAATTCAACTGTGAAGTAGAGACTCAAAGCGCAACCCTTTCTGTCAGAGCCGTTTTCCCAGGCTAAGCTTAGTGTGGATGTAACAAACACACACTAGAATAACCTAAATCTTTATTTTATCTGATTATTGTCACATACATGCTATCAAAACAGCTTTCCCAAGGAAAAATTAATACAAAACAACAAATGGTATAGGGGAAGAAAAACCTTTCTGTGCCTTTCTGTGGATGTTATCTGAAACAATATCTTGGAAAAAACAGGGTAGCGTTAAGCCCAGTGGAAACATTTGTCACAGAAGATGTCGGTTTCTCCGTTGGGGAAGACCACTTGAATTCTCAGGTTATCAAGTCCTCTCACCGTCCTAGCCTCATCACAATCCTGCCCTGATGACACAGATAAAACTGGCCACAATACCCAGGACCATCACGGCGTAGCTGATTTTTACGCTGTTGGCACCACTGAAATTGCACAGGGAAGTACTGCAGCATTTGGTGGAGACAGCTGCTACACCGAAGTTCAGATTTGTCTCAGGACAGTCGGCAGAACATTTCTTGGTGATACGATATCCCGTGTCCTTGCCTGCATGGAGAACAGACAAGAAAGGACAGCCGTTATTTAAGATTCCCCCGCAAGTCATGACCAGAAGGCAATGGGAGTATATTGTACTACACTTAATTTGCAGTGCAGCATTAACAGGGATCAGCAGATTTGATGAGTTCTGGGTGAATGTCCACACAGCGTGGATCAAATATGTGAGAGCAGAAAGTCCTAGCTCAAGGAATTGTCAGTAACCTGCACTATGCCTCAGGTAGGACAGCAAGATTTCATTTTTGATGCATCTTTGGTTTCTAAACTCACGTTCCTTATTACCTGGAAGACCCTTTCTTTCCTGTGTCACAGACTGTGAGCTCTGAGTCCAAGCAATAGGATCTGCTCATGGAAATCTATCTGCTGCAGCGAGCCCTGCCACAAGGTAGTAAGAAAAGTATCCCTAAGAAAAGTATCCCACACGGCAGATCACGACGCACACTCCATGTGTTGAGATCCTTAACCCTGAGTGATCAGTAATTCTTTCCGAAGAGCCCAATTAGTATCCCTAAAAAAGCTATTGTCCACCAAAGTCTTTAGGAAAAAAAAGCCGTGATACTGCTACTCACCAAATCCAACAGAGCTGTATGTTGTTGTACAGTATTTCTCATGATCTTCACACTTGTATGTTTTAAGACAGTTCCAGTTGGAGTGTTCATTTTCACATGTATAGCAAAAAAGTGAGGAAGCTGGAAAGAACACATATGATACATTAGTCGTTTCCAATAATACCCTCCTGGGAAGAAAGTGTCAAAAGCTATGTCCCTTTTTGGATAATATGAGGTGAAAAATATTTTAAAAACAATTTTTCATACAAAGTGAAATAAAGGCTGGTTTTTGATTGATGAAGTTGAGAAAGCAAACAAACAGAACAAAGTAGATTTTTTTTTTCTGTCTTCTTGACATTTCGGGTGATTAAATACGAAAACATTTTTCAGCCTGAGCAGCATTTTCAGATAACCTTTCTTTTAGATCAAGCTCCATCTCTATCTGGACCACACTGGCCCTGCTGACAGTTATCCATGGAAAAGTAGAGCTTGCTACCTACCAGGCCAGGTCTAGCATTGTTTTAGCAAGGAGAGGATAACTCTTCTCATGTAAGAGCTTAGTTTTCAGTGTTTTAATTTCAGAGTGCATTTGCAAAGAAATATACAGATATGAATTAATTACATCCTATAACACTCCAGTGAGCTACATTACTGAGCATAGAGTCACATTAAAGGGAGTGCCTTGGGAAAGGTTGCTTTGGACAGTGGAAGGATTATTCCCACCGGAGCCTGGAAAAATATATCTTCAGTGATCCTATTAGCAGGGCTAAGTCAGGGCGATGCCAAAGCCAGAAGGAGGTAGGATATGTATTTCTGGGCAAAAATGAAGTTGTAAATTGAGTCACACTTCCAGGCTGGACAGCTCTTGGCCAAGCTAGAAACACAGACAGAACATTGTCTCATTCCCTAGAGGTGGATTCACACCTGATGGAAGCTATTTCCCTTGTGTTCAGAGTCCCACGAAATGTTCCTCATGTTTTAGCAGCTGAACAGCTTCAGGGCAACCTGCCCTACTGCCAGCGCTGATGGAGAGCTCTTGGTCGAAGGTGACCGAATTGGAACCCGGGGAGGGTCCTCAGTTTGACTGAAATTTCCCTGCTTTGATTCCTCCTGGCTTTCTTAACCCAGGAAGATTTTCATTTCTGTATAGAATGGTCCATATCAATTGAATTTGATCCTGTTTTTAACAAATCACCATTTGGCCAAAATAGGAACCTCCTCCCGAGGATTCTCCAAAGTGCAATTGCTCAGTTGATTCAAATTCGTGCCTGAAGTTGAACCTGTCCACAACACTTGATCGGACAATTCCAGAAGCGGTTTTAGAAGAAAATTAAGAGTCACTTTAGGCCCTAGCTACTTGGGTCCCGGACGTGACCGTACACACCCCCATCCCCATTCAGACTTGGGGCAGGCCCCATTTAAGGGTGGCCCAAGCTGCAACTCAGTGGAAATGGAAATACTATTTACAAGCCCAGTTCCAGGAGGGGAAGAAAGGATATGAGGACCCCACATGCAACCTTGTCAGGGGAAATATATTTTGAGCACCTACCTCTACTGTCTGAGCCAGAGGGGCTGCCCCACCCCCCACCCCCGCTCCCCCAGTAGAGCCATCGCCTGTCCAGGAGGTGCCTCCTTTCGAGACGTTATCTCCTGAGCAACGAGAGTGGGCCTGATTTTCTGATGGCAGTGCAGCATATTCCTGGGCAGGAGAGCGAGTGTGGCGCTCTGTAGCATATAATCCTACCACGGATACTATCTGTTTTGCCGCAGGAACAGGATACTCAAGTCAGTGGGCCGAATTAAAGGCTGCAGCTATAGCTCTTGATGAGAGAGATGCACGCTATCTCTATATGGACAACTGGGTAACATGCAAGGGTCTGCGAACCTGGTTACCAACATGGGCCACCGCACAGTGAAAGATGCATGATAAGGAACTCTGAGGGAGTCCCTTATGGGAAAGGATTTGGGACAGTGTGCAAACTAAAGCTGTATCTGTGCGACATGTTGACGCTCATCGGAAACAAGAGACCCTCAAAACTCAGCATAATCACCGAATCACAGAATCGTTTAGGTTGGAAGGGACCTCTGGAGATCTTCTCGTCCAACCTCCCTGTTCAAGCAGGGTCACCTAGAGCATATTGCCCAGGATCACATCCAGACGGGTTGTGAATATCTCCAGCGAAGGAGACTCCACCACCTCTCTGGGCAACCTGT